TACTAGCTGGATTTTGAAGGGGCAGAAGAACTAGAGGCCAAATTGCTAACATGTGCTGGATTATGGAGAAAGCTAGAGAGTTCCAGAAAAAGACCTACTTCTGCTTCATTGATTACACAAAAGCCTTTGACTATGTGGACCACAGCACATTATGGCAAGTCCTTAAAGAAATGGGAGTGCCTGACCACCTTATCTACCTCCTGAAAAATCTATATGTGGGACAGGAAGCAACAGTTAGAACTGGATATGGAACGACTGATTGGTTCAAATTTGGGAAAGGAGTATGACAAGGTTGTATATTGTCTCCCTGCTTATTTATCTTATATGCAGAATACATCATGCAAAAGGCTGGACTGGATGAATCCCAAGTCGGAATTAAGATTGCCGGAAGAAATATCAACAACTTCCGATATGCAGATGATACCACTCTGATGGCGGAAAGTGAGGAGGAATTAAAGAACCTCTTAATGAGAGTGAAAGAGGAGAGCGCCCAAAATGAAGCTCAATGTCAAAAAAACTAAAATCATGGCCACTGGTCCCATCTCCTCCTGGCAAATAGAAGGGGAAGATATGGAGGCAGTGACAGATTTGACTTTCTTGGGCTCCATAATTACTGGACAGCAACCACGAAATTAAAAGACACCTGCTTCTTGGGAGGAAAGTGATGACAAAGCTAGACAGCATCTTAAAAAGCAGCGACCTCACCTTGCCGACAAAGGTCTGCAAAGTCAAAGGTATGGTTTTTCCAGTAGCGATATATGGAAGTGAGAGCTGGACCATAAAGAGGGCTGACCGCCAAAGAATTGATGCTTTTGAATTATGGTGCTGGAGGAGACTCTTGAGAGTCCCCTGGACTGCAAGGAGATCAAACCTATCCATTCTGAAGGAGATCACCTCTTATTGCTCACTGGAAGGGCAGATTCTGAAGCTGAGGCTCCAATACTTTGGCCATCTCATGAGAAGAGAAGACTCCCTGGAAAAGCCCCTGATGTTGAGAAAGTGTGAAGGCAAGTGGAGAAGGGGACGACAGAGGATGAGATGGTTGGACAGTGTCATTGAAGCTATCTACATGAATTTGACCAAACTCCAGGAGGCAGTGGAAGCAGGAGAGCCTCACATGCTCTGGTCCATGAGGTCATGAAGAGTCGGACATGACTTAGCGACTAAACAACAACAAAGCCACTTTGGGTTCTTTTAAGGAGAAAGACAGGGTAAAAATATTTTAATAATAAATAAATCATTTCTAGGTGTGAAGTGCCACCAGACATCACTGTCCCTTTATCTTAGAGCCTTGTATGAATGTTTTACTATATAGTATTTTTGTTCTGACACTTATTTCTGTCAAAGCAGACATGTTCCATGAAAGCTTACATTAAAATATAGCAATTAATTTTCAAGGTACCACAATGTCTTCTTTTCATTTAAAACAGCCAATGAAATATTTACATGTATTAGAACAACAAAAGAGTTTTGTGGCATCTTAAAAACTAGTAAATTTAATGTTACATAAACTTTTGTGGACTACAGCCTGTGGCGATCCCCTCTGAAGCCCCTATTCCCTCAGGACTTCATGAGGTTCTCGCTCTTCTTCTTTCTTCGCTGCCACCAGGTATTGCTGCTTCAATACCATTTAATCAAAGAGACATGTGTACTTTTAAAACTTAAATGATTTATTATATCAGGGAAGTTAAACATATGTTTAATATTCAATAGGCAAATCACAGGTTGCTAATCACTTGTATTTGAATCAGTTCTACTTTAACTTTAAACTTCTACTAACACTCTGTTCCATTCAGAGTTCTTACAGATCTGTAACGCACTCTAAGTTCACTTTTAAGTTTCACACTTTCTCTCACTCACAGAATCTCTCTCCTCATACTTCATACACCAGCCTTTATATTCAGCCCCCTCCCCCCTTGGCTCCGCCTTCCGTCCTCTCATTAGCTTCTACTCCACTCTTCTGCTGTGATGGACAGGTGAGGACAGGGCTGCTCGCTACACAGCCCACTTCACTAGATCACATTTCAAGGCAGCTTAGAAGATTAAAAGTTTTGTGGAATATAATGGATTTTAATCAAATAAACTTTGGAAAGCATTCAGTATCAAAATTATGAAAAATTCATAGAAGCATGGGCATGTCAGAAGATCTACTCCACTCTTCTACTGTGATGGACAGGTGAGGACAGGGCTGCTCGCTACACAGCCCACTTCACTAGATCACATTTCAAGGCAGCTTAGAAGATTAAAAGTTTTGTGGAATATAATGGATTTTAATCAAATAAACTTTGGAAAGCATTCAGTATCAAAATTATGAAAAATTCATAGAAGCATGGGCATGTCAGAAGATCTGATTGTCTTTCTAAAAGGTGAGAGAAATGCTTAATGAAACCTTTCTCTAACGGCCTTTCTAAGTGGATATATAGATCACTGATTGAATCACTGTTGGTATGGTTTAGTATGAACCACTTACTTTATTTAATAAGGGAGGGGGGAGTCACTATAGCCCAGTGAACAATGTCTGCAGGAAAAGGTGGGAAAGAGGGCTAATTGACTGCATGGGCTCTGCCCCCCACAAGGCAGGGCAAACCCAGTAGAGCCCCAGCTGAGGAGAAAAGTGGGGGAAGGGGTGATTATTTGTCTACCATCTCCATACCATTCATCCCAGTGTTTTCCCCTTGTGCCCCCACTGTCCTCGGCTACTGTTGCTACTGCCTTCTTGCTTGTGAGTAAACCATATGAACTTTGCTGTTGAGTATACTGGTGGTCCAAACACATGTGTGAAGCCTTCTCACAGAAGAATAAACAGCTCCAGTGTGAATGGAGGATCACTCAAGAGAGAGCTAAAATAAATTGCACTGAAGATAAGCAGCATGAACCAAACCATCTCAAATTCCCCTGTCTGGGCAGGATGTAAATGGACAAAGCAGGTTTCAAAAAATCATAACTCTCATATGTTTGGTATGTAGCAAATATGGACTGGTTGATTGACTTTCCTAAAATGAGAAAAGTTGTACAGATGTTTTTTAAGTAAAAATGAATCCTTTCATTCATACAGATAACATGGCAATAAATGCAAAGCTACATTTTAAATCAATAACCTTGTTTTTTTAAACTTAGGGCCGTGCTTCACTAACACCAGAGAAAGAGCGGTTTGCCCATCAGCATGATGAAATGAAAAATCTAGAAGAGATTGTGAACAAAATAAGACCAACTGCTCTTATAGGTAACATCTACACACATTTGTGTTATCCATCCATCCAATCTTTGCCATTTCGTTCAATTTATAATCTCATTTTGTGTGTGTGTGTGTACACATGCACTAGATATGTGTGAACTAAAAAATATAGGTTGTTAATCTTCATAAAATAGTAAAGTTGGAAGGGGCCTATAAGGCCATCATGTCCAACTCTTCTCTGAGTAGAGTTCTCAGAAAGATATGTTCAGGTTTATACTAAAAATCCCTGTTTTTTCTCGCTATACCACATGAAGCTTCAGTTGTAGAAATTTTTGAATCACTTTCTTTAGTGGTGGCTAAATAACTCAAGAAAAGTAACTTTCCTATTTCTGTAACATGTGACATGATGTGGAGTAATCCATACTTGTGAAACATATAGGTATATTTTTAGTGATGGAGTTAGCTCTGTCCTCTCACACTGTTACTCAAAACATAATACAGCTAGTAACTCTGTAACTATCCTCTTGTACTCTTACAAATTCTGTACCATTGACAGAACGTACAATAAATAATGTAAATATACATCTGTTGTGACTGCGCTGCAGTGTACAGAACATAGGAGAAATATGCTATGTAAGCAAGAGAGACTGATTGAGTTTGATTTTTTTAAATTTCTGTTTGGATGATAAATGGTTTAAAACCTCTCTTTGCATAGCTGGGATGACTATGTTCTGTGATATTTTCCCAAGGTTTTCATTAAACTTGAGTCTCAGCAAATGCCATATATGGTGTCTTGCTAGACAGTGCTCAGGAAGAAGACTTGTTATTGTTGGACCCAAGAACAGAAGTAATTATTTTGTAAAGATGGTGAAAGTAGCCATCAAATACAAGTGAAATTATATTTGCTGATTCATTGTGGAAGTTGGATGTGATTGTCATCCTTACCATTAAATATTACGGAAAAAGAAAACTTCATACAAATGGTAAAAACTTTGACCAAATGAGATAGTAAATTTTGTTAAGACCAATTAGCTGTTAAATATGTTAGAAGCTAGCTTTTGTCTTTACATTTTTGAAATATCAGAGCAAAAGCCCCAGAAATAAATTTAAAAAGATTATGTGTTGAAGCGAGCAGTAATTTGGCTGCATCTAGACTTGTTTAGAACACAAACAACTGCTGAATATACCTTTAATTTATGTCCGAATTATGACCATTTCAGATCCTGAAATTTCTCACTGTAGGCATGGTTCCAAAAAACATCTCTTGCATCCTCTTCATTTGAAGGGAGTTACACAGTGGTGCATTTTCCATCCATATTAGTGCAAATAGGCAGGGTAAATTCTGGTACCATTTTTCTGTGACTAGTATTCTGAAAACTTTAATATTGAATTATTATTTTCTCAGATGAAAGTGGAAGTCACAGGAAGATTGCAATGGAGATGAAGGCCAATATGTATTGAACAATGAAACATCTGGGGCAGGCCTTCATCTATTTCAAATAAATTCATCTCTTTCTGTAAATGTATTTATGTAAATATAAAACAAAAACATCTAAATTCATCTTTAACATCACAAGTACAATGGTACTGGCTGAAACACTGACACAGTGTTACTGCAAGGCTGTATAAAATTTGGTTTTGTGAACCTGAACTGGTGTGGTTATTGGTATTTCAGTTCTAAGCACTTTACCCTGGCAAAGGAGATCAAATGATTGGGCTTTTAGACCATTGGAGATTTCTTTACAGTATTAGAGATGACAACAGCTACTATTCTTAACCATCAAAGTTCCAAAGTAAATCTTCTAAATGTTGTGTATGAAGAATGTCCCAGTAGACTTACTTCCTTTGCAACACAAAGAACAATGTGCACTGTTTTCTGACTGTTCACTGTGATTGCTTCCATACTTCTAAGTGGGAGTATATCATTACTGTATGATATGAAACATGTTAATGAAAGTGTTGAGAGAAGGTCAGAATGTGGTTCCTGTCATTTTACGAAATCTGCCTTTGTTTAGAAGAAGTATGACATTTAGTCAAGCATATCGGCAATGTGGAGTTATTTCCTAAAATCTATGACACTTCATGTGTTATATTATCACAGCTGAATTGAAAGTTAAAGCCAAAATGAGGTTGCTGTCAAGAATGCTAGGCCTGTGTAAAGATTACTTCCACAGTTACAGCAACAACATCATTTTTTAAAATTTCTCTCCACTCTTTTCATTAGTAGCATCAATGGGAAACACATATAGTCATGCCATTTAGTGGCAAGTGTCAGCTGAGCTACTTTTAGATGGTATCTCTGTGTCACCTGTAATCTTGTAGCTTTGCTCCAGTGTACCTTACTATATTTATAACAAGTCAGGTCATAGCTCTACACTGTTCTATTATTCTCTCAATGGTAATGCATTTATATTAAATATGGACCAGAAAGAAAAATAACCAATTAATTTTCTCTTACTCAGGTGTTGCTGCCATTGGTGGCGCATTTACAAAAAAAATTATCACAGATATGGCTTCGTTCAACAAGCGGCCAATTATTTTTGCCCTCAGTAATCCCACTAGTAAAGCAGAATGCTCAGCTGAGGACTGCTACCATCTAACTGAGGTAAGGAAAGAAAGTTAGTTTATACATACTTGGTTATACTGGTACAGAATGAGTTATCTGAGCAGTCATTTACGATAATCAAATTGTTTATTTAGATTTTTACAAAGGACATTTATAAATCCTTATGTTGAGGTGGGCCAATTCAGAGGAAGGGTGAACCAGTGGAAGGGTACCAGGAGCAACAGGGATGCAGAATGCAGGCAATTAGATAGTAATAATCAGTTTGTGGTACAAGTGAGAAACAGACAATGATTTGAGAGGTATAGTTAACTTATATGATTTAATTTTGTTTGAACCAATAGCAGGATGTATGAGTTGGAGAGAATTGGATGGGATAATTTATTTTATGGCAAGACAGCATTGTTTAAATATACAGTAGACTACATGTCAGCTTTTAGCAAACTATTTGTATGAGTCAGAATGGGGCCTGGCTGCAGTTGTAATTGCTAAACTGAGCACTATGGCCAAAATCCTGTTGAATTTTTATGCATACAGAAGAGGAATGATGCAAACTGCCATGGCCAACCTTGTCATTTAGCAACAAACACGATTCTTCTTGTATGTGTGTAATATGCCAATAGGATTTTGGTCTATATCAGTAAACAAATATAAATCGTATTTTAAACAATACACTTCTCCCTTGAATTGCATGCACCTGAGCAGCATCTTTTGGTTATGCATGCCCCCCAGTCAGTCAGTCAGTCAGTCCGTCCGTCCATCCGTCCACCTGTCCATCCATCCATCCATCCATCCTGTACTGTTGCTTGTCACCAGGAAGTGGCCTGAGAAAAGTGGGTCTCAGGCTTACCTAGGCCCTGTTGTTAGCAGTGTGGCAGCCCCAGTCTGCTGGTGGTGGTGGTGGTGGTGGTGGTGGTGTGTGTGTGTGTGTGTATGATTGAGAGAGAGAGAGAGAGAGAGAGAGAGAGAGAATCAACTGTTTATGCTTTGTACTTAAATTTTTTAATTTATTTAATTTATTTATTTATTTGATTTATACCCCACCTATCTGGACCACCAGACCACTCTAGGCGGCTTCCAATACAAAATAAAACAATAAAACACAAGAATATACATAATCATTCAATAACAATTATAATAAAATAGAAGAGAATTAGAAGAGATGTCAGGGGCGTTAAGAGTTATACATGGATTTTGAACTACAGGGGCCTAACACTCCTACCTCCAGTGTTGTTGAAGGGAGAAGTGTAATAAGCATAGTATTTGCTTTCCTAATAAAGTTTTCCATTTTTGATGTGTACACTATAACCACATGCATAATCCATAGGTATGCATATGGGGGGAATTAATAAATTAACCATCTAAGTTATTTAAATTGGTTCACCAGCTTGGAGCAAGCAATAGGAATCCAATTATATATAATAAAAATATTAAATACTGCTGCATATGAATTCAAGATAGATTACATTCACTGTTGGCTTACAGGTTTACCCCTTGAAATTTCTCTGCTGTTTCAGCCTTATAAATTATAAATAGAACTAAAAATGTAGCATGTCCTGTTTGCCTATTACAAAGTCTACATCAGAATGCAATGCCAGAATGAAATAGGAATGCTAATATTTTAAAAGCATGGTTATAGTGTTCCGTTTCATCTGTTGGCTGGAATTAGATATACTGAAATACCTAACACACCATCAAAAATGTATAAGGCAAGCTGTTATAATTCTACATGACACCAAGCTAAACCATATTCTTTTGAATAATTAGACTGTGTTTGTGTTACATTACATATTTGTAACTCCCTAAATAAGGTTGTAAACTTTCTGTTTATAAATCTAATTCAGTCATGAAGGCTGCAACTTTATAGCTGCTTCTCCAGACACAAGGCTGAGTTATAAAACCATTTTTGGAAGTGATGAGTAAATGTGGTAAAGCTTATGCTCTAGCACAGGGGCTTCCACACTTAAGGGATCAGCTATTTGTTTGGTGTAAGACCTGAACATATGAGTTGTGGTGTGTTTGTTTGGGGTTTTTAGTGCCATTTTTAGAAATCCTGACAGATGCACATTGTGGCTTTAAGCAGGATCAGAGATCTACAGTGATATCACTGCAAACTAGGGTGCTCAGATAACAATATATGACAATAATTTTAATACATTTATAGAAGAGGGAATGTCAGGAGGTATCACATGCATGATAGCAAAATCTCTGATATTCTTGTTTTATGTAGTTACTAAACATTTGTCTGCAACTTTTGTCCTTTTCAACATCTGTCTGCAAAGATTTTAGAAGACTTGGTCACAGATCTTGGTCTCAGTTCAGTTTTATGTATTCATATTTCTGTGTGTGGCTGAAGCGTGGCTGAAGCTAGTTCTGAAGGTCTTCCCAAAATGAAAAATAAGAGACTGGAAGTCACATGAAATGAGCATGATACTGTACCATTTTGCTATTGGGTATACCATAAAATGTGCAATCAAGCATTGAGCTAAAGTTATGAAAGTGGGACTACAGGACATAAAATGGCTTGCCTTAACCCTGAGAACACATAGAGATTAATTAAACAGTACATATTAAGAATATCAGAAGTCTTATTTTGCTTAGTGTATGGATTCCTGTATGTTATGATTAAAAGTATTGCTTTGTAGATATAGATGCATGCGCTGACATTTTCAAAATTATTTCTATCTGTTTTAGGGGCGTGGCATTTTTGCAAGTGGAAGCCCTTTTGATAAAGTTACTCTTCCAGATGGACGTACATTTTTCCCTGGACAGGGTAACAATGCCTATGTGTTTCCAGGAGTTGCCCTTGGCGTTGTGTCATGCGGAATGAGACATATAAGTGAAGACATTTTCCTCACTACTGCTGAGGTACTAGTTGTTCCTTGTACACTTGAATGAATGTGACTTAGTTATCCTTAATTAGATATGTTCTGCAAAAATATAGGTGCTCATTTGGCTTTACTGTTGTGAGTGGAACATTATTGGTAAACAGGTAGCAAAGTGGCAGTATATAATTGGCTTGTATAATTGCCAGATGAGAGTAGTTTGCTGTCTAATGAAACACTGCTATTACAGACAGCTTAGAAGCCATCTTTTGAATGAAGCCTACCAAACACTGTACTTGTCTGTATGTCAAGCACATCATGAAATGCATTAGACTAAAGTCAGGTGCTATAACACTACAACACTTGATTCCTCTGTTTTGATCACGGAATGAAAAACAGAAAGAATTGAGCCATTGATTCTTAACTCTAGAAAAAACAAGCCAACAGAATGTGAAGTAAATCACCAAGGCCAAGCCTAGCAGGATGAATGGTCGATCCTACATGGTGTGACCTTAAGAACAATATAGTAATTATGTGCTGACCAAGCCTAGCAGGATGAATGGTTGATCCTTAAGAACAATATAGTAATTATGTGCTGTCATGTCCATTCCACTTTACAATGTTCCTTTCCAGTGTTTTCTAGATATAGAGTACTCAGAAGTGGTTTACCATTCCTTTCCCTTGGCGATGATCTAGATCTGTGTACAGTGGTGCCCCGCTTGACAATTACCCCACTCCATAACAAATCCGCTTTACGATGGGGTTTTTGCAATTGCTTTTGCGATTGCAAAATGATGTTTCAAAGGGCGATTTTCACTTCACGACAATCGGTTCCCTGCTTCGGGAATCGATTCTTCGCATTATGACGATCTAAAAGCAGTTGATCATTGGGTTTCAAAATGGCTGTCCGCTGTGCAAAATGGCTCCCCGCTGTGTTTAGGATGGATTCCTCGCTTAACAGGCACTGGAAAATGGCCGGCCTATGGAGGATCTTCGCTGGACGATGAGGCATTGCGCCCATTAGAATGCATTAACCGGTTTTTAATGCATTCTAATGAGTTTTTTTACTTTCGCTTAACGACGATTTTGTTGTACAGCGATTTTGCTGGAACGGATTATCGTCATCAAGCGAGGCACCACTGTAGTTGCTCAAGGCAACACAGGCTGGCTTTTTCTCCCTAGACACAGTGGGAGATTGAACTCCCACCTCTGGTTCCACAACCATGTGCCCAACATGCTAAACCATCTTAGATTTTGCTAAATTACTTTTTTCTATTATTCTTGAGTTCACAATTCTCTTTGTTGTACTTGTATTTAATTCGGGTTTAAGTGGAAGAATTTATAAACTGAATTCCAAAATCAGACCATACTTAGTTTTGCCTCAGCTTTCAATCCCTTTATGCTCTCTATATTTTACTGACTGTACTGATAATTTTATTCTTGATGGGACCATATGTGTGTTTACACCAATATTGCTTTTGGTGGTGTTTTATTGATATGTATAATTTGAATGTTATATGAAAATGGGAGTGTACAGTCGTTTGTATTGCGGAATGTAGAAATCCAGAAGGATTCCTCTAAAATACAACTTCCTTTGAAGACAAGATCAAGCAACATGGAACTCCAAAATTCATCAATAAATTTAGATTAAGAGAATGTGGAAAACATTTCTGTTCTCATGAAAGCAGCCATTTCAACACAGAAACATAACAGAATCTGAAGATATAGAATAAGGAGGTCCTACAACAAATAGACGCCTAAATCAAGTGGGGTGCTGGTATTCTGGCCCCTGCTTTGAGGAACCCCCTTTCCTCCTTTCCCTCCTGCAGCTTTTGGACATGCCCAGAACTGGCTTGGGACTTCCAGCATACAGATCAGGTTTTGGGGCGCACAGAGAACTGTAACGAGAAGGCGAGATTACTCGCCTTCTGCTGAATTCTATTCTTGCCAGCAGAAGTCCAGTGGTGGAAGCTGCTCATACTGTAATATGACCACATGCCAGGTATGCCCTGCAGTGTAAACTTTATCCTTTCTGGCAATTTTTGTAGGACCTGAGTACTGTCCTGAATTAATGGAACTCATAAATGATATGAAATGTAGTGTAAGAAACTGGACAAGAGTTCTGAAAAATGGCGGAGGAAATCAGTGCTTTAAATGCAACAGGTTCTTCTCCCGATCAGAGACAGAAAGCAATATAAGGTGCACAAAGCTATATGAATCAGATGTATTGTAGTATAAGGCTAGCTGTAGAAGTGTAGAGATCCTGATAGAGATACAAAGAACTCCCTATTTGAATAGTACTACTATATAAGTAGGTAATGGTGGTAGTAAGGAACATTGTAAAGAGCATAATATCTACCATCAAAGGTATAAATGTTACTAATTTAACTATTTGCTTATATTAAATGTATTTTACAAAAATCTGTGTTTTAATAAAAAAGGAATAATTAGCCACTAAAATGAGAAAAGAATATACAGAAGTGTATTAATGTCTTCCAAATACAGCCTAAAACAGCCTTTTAAAACTTCTTTGGGACTGGATATTAACTTTTTCTCACTGAGAATAGTCCAAAACGGTGATTCATAGCAGCCTCTGCTATAAAACAATGTAAAGTATTCCAACAGCCATAAATAGTAAAGCCTCTAGTCCTTACTTTTCCTGTCTGCCTCCTCTTGAAGGAAGAAAAATGACCTCTGACTCTGCCATTGAAGTATAAAATCATGAATCACAGTGAATTTCATCTAAAAGATAGCAATTGTTCAGGCGAGGAATGGGCTGCTGTTCACTTCTCCTCTGCTATGGGATTTACCTTGTAGAAATTCAGTTTCCAGCCTTGCCAAACTTGGTGTTTAAATTTGCCAGTAGGATGTTTCCCCCCCTAGGAACGCTTTACACTTTCCATGTCCAAAAATCAATATAAGGCCCAGTTTCTTCACACTGGTTTGACCAACCAAGCTGGACAGCAATTTATTGCAAAGTAACTTGGTTAATTTTATGCTCTTCCCTAAAACATTGCCTGTAATTTCAGTTGGATAATGGCAATCTTCATTCTGTTTCCTAAACTGCCATGTTTATTTTAAAAGCAGTGCCTTTTAAATTCCATGGCTTCATTTGGCTTGGTAAGCAATTTAGGTATACAGTAGTTTGTAAAACACTGTGGAAATTTCATAAAGAAAGGGTGGAACACACAGTGGGTTGTGAATAATCTCAGATGTCAGACTTGAGAAGAAGGCAAAAAAGGCTGAGAGTCAATTTTAGCAGCCAAAAGAAAAAAATATTATAAAAATTAGAAAACTTTGCAGTTACGGTAACTTTTTAAGGAAGAAGTTATATGCTAATATCTACATTAAATTCAATTTTGGCCCTTCAGGTTTTTATCTAAGTCTCACTAAGACTCACTAGGGCTGTAATACTGTGCACATTTTCCAGGGAATAACAGATAGAGATAGCTTGTGTGTTTATATGTTTGTACTGTATCATCCTGTACTGTAAGTGAGAGGGTGAGATTGAAAATTGTAAGTGGGATATGTATCAGGAGTGATAGTTATGGAAGTTGAGAAATGAGGAAAAACATTAATGGAACTGTGAGCTGATTGGTCTGTATGGTTTGTGGCTGTGTTGAATTTAAGGGTGCATGTGTGAGAGTTAGTAGAGCTGTGGGTTGGTTAGTGGTATTAGTGCTGTCAAAGTTTGGGAGTTAGAATGAGGGTTGCCTGTGGAAAGGCTGAGTAATAGCATAGATGTGTTAGAACTTTTGTCAAAGGAAGTATCTGTCTCTTAATAAGGAACAGAAAGTATGTAAAATTACAAAAAAAGTAAAGGCTTGTGATTATATACTGAAGAACCTGACAGTTTAAACATTGCCCAAATTCTGTTGTTTACTGCAGGGGTCATCAACCCCCGGTCCGTGGCCCGGTGCCTGTCCGTGGGCTAGCCAGAACTGGGCCTCGGACATGGATCTCCGCCCCCCCACCTGCCCACCCAGGGGGGGTGTCGTGCTTGCAGAGGGGCATGTTGAGATCCGGTGGAAGCAGCAGCAGTCACAAGCCTGGACTCCTCACCTTCCCTGCAATTGACGGTGACTCAGCCTCTGCGCCCACCAGCTGGTGGGATGGCCTGAGGGCGCCTGCTATTCCCTCCCACACTGCCTGGCCCCCAGCCACATGGAGCTGAGCTGCCGCCGGTTGCAGGGAAGGCGAGGAGTCCAGGCTCGTGACTGCCGCTGAGGGTCTGTCCAGGCCTTGGAGAAGACAAGCAGTTGGAGCAGAAGCTGCTGCTTCCTGCCGGGGCGCTACTGCCAGCTCTTAACTCAGGGAGCTGCTCCAGCCGGCTTGTCAGTCCGCCTCCTGGGGTCCCGGTCTCCTGCCCCCGCTGCTGCTCTTGGTGCTGATGCTGTGTGCTGATTTGGCAAGGCAAAGAGGGGGGCTGGGCCCAGGAGGCGCCTCTGGCCCCTGGAGGAGCAACAAAGGAGATAGAGCCAGGAAGGGAGAAATGGTTTGTTCTCCTTGCCCCATCCCTTTGCCACAGTAGAGTCAGTGTGACTGAAGGACATGACATCTTTTCTGGTAAGCCCTCGCAGCCACTCTTGTGATGGGGTGGCCACCAGCACAGCCAGGAGGCAGGAGGAGGAAGCAGGCCTTGATGCCCCGCTGGCACTCCAGGGCCGCCATCTGGGCAGCGTACTCGGTGAAGAGGGTGCGGAAGCCCTCATCCAGGAAGGGCTGGCTCAGGTGCACTGCCCATCAGCTCAAAGTCCTCCTGGATCATGCGGGCTATCATGGCAAAGCTGCCTCCCCTCCACTCAAGGCTGGGCTCGCCCAAGAGGTAGGTGTGTCATGCAGGAGCGCAAGGGGCGTGTCATGCTTGCATGCAATCTTGACACGCCCCTCTGCAGGCATAACACACCGACCTGTGAGCGTGACACCCCCACCCGTGAGGGCGGGGGTGCCCCCGCCCCCCCCACCGGTCCGCACACAGAGCCCGCACGCCCCAACCGGTCCCCAGCCCGAAAAAGGTTGGGGATGACCGGTTTACTATTGTGA